CCTTTGAAATCCACATATTCATTAAATCCATTTATTCAGCAGTAGGTCCCACTGTGGAGGTTTCTCACTAGGACATAAGTTTAGGATTGTAGTGCTAGGTAGGTAAACAGAAACCCCAGCCTGATAGAAAGGACAGTCAATTTTATTGTATTATATTTTTCTTACTTAAATCTTCAAGAAATTACTGGCTTAAAATAATGTGCTGCATTGCCTTACTTGAAATTCTGCCTTATCTACATTACCTTGTATTATTTTGTATTTTTGAATTAAATTAGTTCTTCATAATAGCACTTCATCCTTGTGTTCTGAATTAAATGCTCATTGCCTTAGGCTTCTTCCTCTCACCCTGTCATCTAATGATTGCTGTAAAGTAAAGATATGCTATGAATTTGTGTATTCCCATTGCATTTTTAAGTGTTTATCATCACAGCCAAAATACAGATAAGCAATATACAGGAGCAGATTGCAGTCTTGAATTACCATAATGGGAATACAGTAATGTTTTGTGTTGCAGTAAGAAATTATGCTGTGGGCAGAGCTTCAGTGCTGAAACTGAAAATACAGTATTAATGTTTTTCTCTTAATGACATATATGTACGTAACATACGTAGTAAAAGATTTCATTGTTAATAACATTAGAAGAAAGGACATGATTTTGTCTATTATGAGATCTCTGGTTGTGTAGGCAGCAACTATTTTAGGCGCTGACATGCGGGTCCTTTTTGCCCTGGGAGAGGGCCGAATTGGGGCTGGGCATGCTTATGAAGGGTATGGGGAGTGGGAATGGAACCCCCAAGCGAAATGGTCTCCACCTGTACAGTGGACCCTCCAGATACGAACTTAATTGGTTCCTGGGGTCCGTACATACCCCAAAAAGTCTGCATCTAGAAGCGCTGCTTTTGCACACGTGCACAGAGCGCTTCTGTGCATGCGCACGCGGCGAAACCCAGAAGTATACACTTCTGGGTTTGCCGCATTCGCAACCCGAAAGTTACTTTACATGAAGGTAACATAACCCGAGGGTCCACTGTACTTCCTTTTACATAACCTTGCTTTGTGCTCTTAAGTTATTGTGGGGAAAAGAGCACTAACTTTATAATTTTACTGGATAAAATAGATGAAAGCTACTCTGAGGTTCTTTTGGTTCTGATTAGTTTGATATGGTCTGTGTGCTTAACTGATTAGCTATTTAAAACTCCATTTTTAAACCAGAAAATACACTTTAAAAATGTCTTAGAGTTGTTCCATGGAAAAGTTTCCAGCCAATATCTCAAAAAAGAGTCTCGGTTTTTCACAAGCTGCAGTAGATTTTAAGAGGGCCGCAGGTGGCGCTGTGGTCTAAATCACCGAGCCTCTTGGGCTTGCCATTTGTAAGGTCAGCAGTTCAAATCCATGTGACGGGGTGAGCTCCAGTTGCTTTGTCCCAGCTCCTGCCAATCTAGTGGTTCAAAGGCATACCAGCACGAGTAGATAAATAGGTAGTGCTGCAGCGGGAAGATAAACAGCTTTTCCGTGCGCTCTGGCACTCATCACAGTGTTCCGTGTGCCAGAAGCTATTTAGTCATGGTGGCCACATGACCCTTCTGTAGACAAACACTGGCTTCCTTGGCCTGAAAGTGGAGAGGAGCGCCCATCCCCATAATCGAATTCAACTGGACTTAATCGTCCAGGGGTCCTTTACCTTTTACCTTTAGATTTTTAAATGCTTCTTTATGAAAAATTGTTTATAAATCATGGTGAGGAAATATAGGCTAAAGAGTTGTGTTCTTCAATTATAATTTATTAATATCTCTTAACTATTTCCTTTTAATAACTTTTAACCCCTCAATTGACATATCAGTGTATTTTTCTTTTCCAAATTGGTTTGTTTTTTTCAACAGACTCAGGAAGGACCTTGTCGTGGTTCTGTTGCTCATAGCAGACTGTGCTATGCTAACGCTTCCTGTGCATTCCTAGATACTACACTATGAACAATTATGACAATTTTTTTCTGGAAAAGAAGCTGAAGTTTGGAATTTATTGGCTGAATATTAGGGACACTGTGATAATGTATTTTTTATTATTGTTTGATGGTTAACAGCAGTAGAACTTTATCTCATGTTGTTCATTGTCATTCTGTGCCTTCAATCTGGAGCAAAAGGAGAGAAAATTATTATTATTTTAAACAATTATTATTTTTTAATTATTAAGCAGAGGTTTGGGTTTAGAAATGGTTAAAATAGGTGTAGTGAATTTTTTCTTCCAGGTCTTCATTTATTTTTGATGGGTATCCGTTATCATGATCCGTGTTGACGTCATGGGTTGTATATACGTATACAAATACACAAACAGTATATACTGCAGGAATATATATTTATGAAGTTGAAATGGTGCCATTTAGAAAATCTTTCTGGAACACCAGTGCCCCCCTGGTTGGGAATCACCCAGAATTGCCAATGAGAACTGAGCATGCTCAGTGGTAATGTAATGCTGACTAGCTGTTGGGAATGATGGAATGGAGTCCCCTATAGGAGGGTATGGCAGGGTGTTTGAAATCCTGAACACGAGCACTCAATTTTACATTTTCTTGCAAGCTACACTTGTTTCAGTCTATTCGAAAACAGTTCTTACAAAGCTTTACGGCCATGATTTTTACAACAGAATTTTGTTTGGATTTTATACATCATTCCCATTCTCTGATAATTTCATGTTGTGGGAATATTTTGCAGAAATATTTTGAAGAATATAATTTCTGCTGTGAAGACTAATTTTTAAAAAATGAACTAGATAATGTTTTGTACAATATAATTGTGGGTTTTTTCCTATGCAAATTTCAGTCTTTTCCTCATTAGTGTTAGCAGTAGTTCCATATGGTCTAGCCCAGCATAACCATAGTTACTACTGGTTTTAGTTTCTAGCTTATAAACTAATAATGGTGTACCTTTTCCTTATGGTTCAACCAGTGCAGAAATAATGTTACTAGGGAAGAAGGTGTGGGTTTCTTTAGTTATTTTTTTTTTATATTTTTCAACATTCAGTAAAAACTGAATCAATCTAAAGAAAGAAGTAACAAAGCAAGAAAAAAAGAGAAAGAGAAAGCTTTCCCCTGCTCCCTCAGCCTCAAACTCTGAAAGAGCCTCTGGCTTACCTTCATCTTCTGTCCATCACCTTCCTATGTGTATCTTCATTTATCTCAAATATAAATATTCAAAGAACAAAACATACATGTAAATAGGGTTAACAGAGAGCTAGAGTTAAAAGTCATAAAGTAAAAGTAAAGGGACCCCTGACCATTAGGTCCAGTCGTGAATGACTCTGGGGTTGCGGCGCTCATCTCGCTTTATTGGCCGAGGGAGCCAGCGTACAGCATGTGGCCAGCATGACTAAGCTGCTTCTGGCAAACCAGAGCAGTGCACGGAAACGCCGTTTACCTTCCCGCCGGAGCGGTACCTATTTATCTACTTGCACTTTGACGTGCTTTGGAACTGCTAGGTTGGCAGGAGCAGGGACCGAGCAACGGGAGCTCGCCCCATCGCGGGGATTCGAACCGCCGACCTTCTGATCGGCAAGCCCTAGGCTCTGTGGTTTAACCCACAGCGCCACCCACATCCCGAAAAGTCATAGAAAAAGCAAAATATGAAGAAAGAAAAAAAATTAAAAAGACAGTCTTCCAATTCTCTGTCTACCAATTATGTATATGACAATTATTCAAAATATTTAAAGTATGCACTTCAGAGCAAATTCTAGCTGTATTAATAACCAGCTTTTTCTCATTCTACTAGATGGTATTTCTCACCCTCCCAGGCACCTTGAATTCACATTTTTTCACTCATGAAGTCCAATATAGCACTTCAATTATTACCTTCTAGTGTCCAAAATAATCTCAGAAAGTAAATTTTAATCACCATGATTTTGCAATCAGCAGCATTTCATTTGAACTGGGTCATGGATCTGTAACCAAAAGTTCTCTTCCTTTGAAAGAAGGAACTTCTCCCATCAAAAAGTTTTCAGAGGGTAGAAAAATGGGATTCTGCTGCCCCAAGTTGCCAATTTTAAATTGTCCAGCAAGCCACACATACAGAATGGGAATGTCTACTTGCTTGTTCTAATTTAAATTTTGGAAGAAGCTCTTTTAAAAGATCACATAGTTTGCAAACCTACACACGTTTAGCTCTAAGTCCCACTAAATTCACTCGGACTGAGTGGACATATACAGGATTGCACTGTTAATCAGGTGTGATGTCTCTTTTGAACACATGTATATTCCCTGCCTCATTCATGCATGTCCCATCTCATCATGCAAGTTGTAAGACTGTAGTCACACTTACCTAGGAGTAAATCTTTGAGAGTAACACAGTGGGTTTTCCCAAATAAGTATGCACAGGACTGCACTGTAAATGACTTAGAGAAAGAGGTAAGTTGTCTCCTTTTCATAACTATGAAAGGATCAATCTGCCAAGCTGAAATTCATCTCAGTTTCTTATTTTTCTGATAAAGTACTAAGTGCAGTTCTCCAACTTAAGCTGTTGGAGTCAAGGGTCCTTGGGGCAGTCTACAAGTGAATTGGGTGTGTGTGGAAAGTTTTCAGCTTGTTCTTATTTCTTGATAATTAAAATAAGAAAACATAATTAAAAATCAGAAGAACATTAAATATTATCTACCATTCTCTTGTTGCTTTCAGAATGAATATATTACAATTTCTAAATGTAACTAGGTGCAACAGGTGAAGAAAAGGTAGTGTGTACCAGGTTGAAACCATTTATATGAAAGCAAATTCTATTAAAATCAATGGAATATACTTTGAAGCAAATATTCAGTGAACTAACTAGCTTATGTAGTATGTAGTATGTAGAATTCAGCTGTCAATCTTAGATTTAGTATATGTGGCATCCTGAATGAAGATACTACCAAAGGTAGCTTAGTACATCAAAAATTAAATAATAGCTGTGATTTGTCTTTTTAGCATTTCAATTTTTTTGTGTTGAAAATATATCTTAACAACACTATATTCTCTTAAACAGCAAACTACAAATCAGATGCAAACTGATTCTCTGTCTCCGTCTCCTAACACTGTGTCGCCAGTGCCTTTAAATAACCCCACAAGTGCCCCAAGATTTGGAACAGTCATTCCTAATCGCATCTTTGTTGGAGGAATCGATTTTAAGGTATTTTTTTTTCTGATCTTGGTTCCTTAGCAATACAATCATTTTTTTCACTTCTGTCTTAATAGGTTGCTTATATCATTTGTTGTATAGTTTTATGTGTATAAATGTTGAAATCAGGCTCTAATTTTATGTATTTGTTGGACAGGTATAGTGCTACTGCACAAGAATTTCAAGATACAAACACCAACCAATGAGAAAATACTGGATTTGTTCACTTTGCTGGTCCTTCTCATCTCTGTTACTTAATAGAGAAGAAAAGGCGAAAGAGTTGTAATTTTGGACCTGGTAGAGCCTAGAAAGTATCTAGCCCAAATTCTCTTCCAACACTGGTTCTAAGGGGGCAGGAACTTCTACTTAACCTCTACTTGAAAGGTTGCCTTTAAGGCCAGTAGACTAAAAAATAGCGTTCAAATTATGATTTTTGAAAATTGAATTTAAAAAGACAACAGATACGATACAGTTAGTGGAATTGTTGATACAGAATGGTGTGATTAATATGATTTAAAAAATAAAACATCCCATAAAGGAAATCAAAGTTAAATGATGATTTTAAGTACATTTATAGTAATGATTTGATGATGTAATCATTTTCTTTTTCTTTTACTAGACTAATGAGAATGACCTAAGGAAGTTTTTTTCCCAGTATGGCTGCGTCAAAGAAGTAAAAATAGTAAATGACAGAGCTGGAGTATCAAAGGGGTTAGTACAATAAAGCATTTGCTCATCAAGTAGAAATAATACTAGTTCATGCAATACATGCAGGGGGGGAAATCCTTATTACATAATTAACAAGACATGAGCACCTTAAAACTACAACCCTATACACAATTAACTTCGATTAAGTCTCATTAAACTTAGTAGGGCTTGCTTTTGGGTAGATGACTTGTATAGGATTGTACTCATAGTTAAAAATCAACATTTTTTCTCTACAGTGGAGGAGGATATCCTCGTCTGAGTTGCTCCTCCTCCTGTTCACTCCAGAAGGCAGAACTATGCAGTCATAGTCATTCATGGTACATTCAGGTCCTGGAAGGAAAGTACCAGCTCTTTTACAAAAAGTTAAAAGTTTACAAAGAGTTACAAAAAGTTTCCTATTTAGAGGTAATTAGTATATATCAGTTTTCACTATGATTTTCCAAACCATAGGAACAAAAGGCAAGGTGGCATTTCATGTTTTCACAGACTAGGGTACTTTAGGTTGACTATCTCACAACCACAGGCTTCCCCCCCTTGTGGAAGTTCTAAGGGAGACTCTGCCCACTGCCCCGCATGCTCTGCTTGATTCTCTGCTCTAGCCTCCCTCTTTTTCAAAAGCCCACACTCCCCATCCCCCATTGGACTGCACAGGTATGGGATGGGTAAGAGGCTGCATGCATTCAAAAGTAATTTTGCTGTCAGATCTTGGTTGGGTGTGGTGCCAGTTGAGGCTTGCAGGTAACTGAAGGTGGGTGGGAGTTTGCTTCCCCACCCTAAAGGTGAGCTAGCCAAATATGGGCCAGCAGGCCCCACCTCCCAGGGTGGAAAATCCAACAGGTTGGTGCAGGACTTCTTATTTTCACCACCACCACATCCACGTTCCCCTTCAGCTCTTGCTACTGTCCTGAAGTCCTGGTCCTCCTCATTGCTCTGAACTGATATCTGACAGACCAGAATACCATAGGCACTGCATTTTCATCTCGCACAGAGTGCTGAAGGAAAGCTGCTCCTCCCTCCACTTCCACCTGCCATGGGATATGCTGCTACTGCTGTCAGTCAAGTCTTCCCAGTTCACAATGTGACAACAATCTAGTGAAAATAAAGTATGGAGAGTATACATACAGGCAAGCATGTAGACAGACTTCTGGTTCATTATGTTAACTATACATATAAACATTTCTGTCAGTTATCTTTTTATGTGTGTCATCTTGGTTTAATCCACTCATTCACAAACTTGAATATGTAACAAATGCTGAAATTAACCCATAATAAGGTGCTGCGCATTGATAGAACAGATTAAAATAGGAAACTTTAATGACTAGTTTTAAGTAGAATAGTTTAAACTAAGTTTAAACCGTGGTAAAAAGCCACCATCCTGGTAAAGGCCATGAGAACTCTAATTTGTTTTGGGGAAGCCAGCCAAAAGATTATGTTTAATGGATTTTTAAATCTGGCTTTGTTTGATATGGTACATATACTGATCCATAGTGCTCACGTCAGTCAATGGTTCTTCCTCATTTTATGTGATATTAGAGGAGGCCTTCATTTTATGCATGTCAAGCAGCAGCTCTTGTTTGGGAAGGTTGCAAATATAGTATATGCTAAGAAAAACGTATGCTGTTTTACTTAGGTATGGTTTCATCACATTTGAAACTCAGGAAGACGCTCAGAAAATACTACAAGAGGTAAACATGATGTCATTAAAAATTATATATTTGTGCACAGATAGGAACTGGTAATACCAAGTAACATTTGTTTATAGTATGGTAGTGGGGAGTGCCTGGTGCTACCCACAAACCAAAAAATATTGTGATTTTTAAATGGTAGTGGTTAAGAGCGGTAGTCTCGTAATCTGGAGAACCGGGTTCGCATCTCCGCTCCTCCACATGCAGCTGCTGGGTGACCCTGGGCCAGTCACACTTCTTTGAAGTCTCTCAGCCCCACTCACCTCACAGAGTGTTTGTTGTGGGGGAGGAAGGGAAAGGAGAATGTTAGCCGCTTTGAGACTCCTGAAGGGGAGTGAAAGGCGGGATATCAAATCCAAACTCTTCTTCTTCTTCTTGTGAGTTTGGACCTGCCACACCAAAAATCAAGTGAAGTTAATCCAAAGTCTTGTTTTGGTCCACTGCCTTGATTCCAAATGGCGCCTGGCATTCCAACGACAACAGTCTCTTCCATCCCCACCTCAAAAAGTTTCATGCCAAGTTTGGGAACAATATTTTGAGAGGTGTCCAAACGTATAGAGTACAAACAGATGCACAGAAAAACAAACTACTTTGCAAAATAATGTGGTACATTAGATATGGGGACCTGCAAAAACAGTGTGTACTCTATTATTTATTGGTTCATTTGTTTAGTTTGTAACTTCACTCTTCACCCAATATTCGTAACACAAGAGTAAAAGCATTGAATACAAAATATAAAACAGATAAACATTACCAAAGTATAAATAAACAGCAACTGTCAAAATTACTGGCATATTAACTCAACCACGATCTGAAGGCTTGGGCAAGGAGGTACATCTTCAGCCGCTGTGGAAAGGTAAACTGTTTCAATGCCAGATTTATTTCAGAAAGGAGGTGATTCCAAAGATAAGGTCCAACTACTGAGAAGGTCCCATTTTGTGGTACCTCCGGGAGGCTTGCCTGGCTGCCTTCATTACATATCTTTAGGTGCTAGGCCAAAACATGCCTCTTTTAATTAGCCTTTGGCTAATTTAGCAATGCATGAGATGTATTGTTTTTTGTTTGTGGCTATGGTTATAGTTATAAAAGTTATAAAATTTATAATAGTTATCAAAGTTTTATGGATCAAAATATTATGCATTTATATCCACTTGAGATGGTTTTATTTATTTTTTAATCCACTCTGTTTGATTCAATCCTTATGATCACTGTAGTTAGTTATAAAGCGCAGTTGAATACATTATTTAAAACAAATATTTGTCCAGTTCAAAAGAGTCTTACCATTTGGCACAAAACAAAGGACTGAGTTCACAAGACATTTCCATTAGGATTTGAGGTGAACTGAAGGTATCTGTAAAACGTGTTGTTGAAATGTTATTGGGATTTTTGAGACATTCATTATTTGAATACATTTGAAAAATAAACTATTAAGGTAAATAATTGTATGTATTTTCTTTGCTTTGGCTTAGGCTGAAAAACTAAATTATAAGGATAAAAAACTGAATATTGGTCCAGCAATAAGAAAACAACAAGTAGGGATTCCTCGTATGTATTTGCTTGCTTGCTTGCTTCCTACCCCCTACCCCCATCTTTTACGGGTGTTTTGGAAAAATCTTGGGCTATGCCAGTGCTGTGAAGAATTATTTAGGCTACAATCCTATACACACACACTTGGGAGTAAATTTATTTGAACTCAGTGGTATTTACTTTTGAGTAGACATGCATAGGATTGTACTGTTACTGTTCTATTTGCCTACTAGTGAGTGTTAATATTCTCTTAGCAAGTTTATCTATAGTCCAACTCAGGCTCCTGATAGTGGAAGGCTTCTGGCCCAGCTGAGGCACATGCCTTCTGATGGTGATACACAGTTGCTTCTTTTCATCACATTAGTCCAGGCATAGGCAAACTCTGGCCCTCCAGATGTTTGGGACTACAACTCCCATGATCCTTAGCTAACAAGACCAGTGGTCAGGGATGATGGGAATTGTAGTCCCAAACATTTGGAGGGCCGGAGTTTGCCTATGCCTGCATTAGTCAGTTTCATGGAATGATTCTTAATATTAAATTGCAGTGAGCTGAAATTTTCTGTTAACACATTTTGCGATTTAGAGGGAAATTCTGATGTTGTAAGTTGAGGGGATTAGGATGGGGTGGGAATGCTTCTCTGCTCTGTGTTGATGGGGGACATGTCTGACCCAGAGCCCACAGTCACGTTTGTGGAAAGTTCTGTAAGCACAGAGCTACAGGATCAGAAATGGGACATATTGGAGATGCCCTTTGGTTTGCTTGATCCAACACCATTAATTCCTCTGAGAAGCCCTAGGATTGAATCAACTACACCAGCCTGGAGCTGGCACAGTTAATCCCTCCAACCAATTATAGTTAAGTGAATCGGTTTCTTACCCCAAAAACTAATGAGTGAGAAATTAAAAGAACTGCCAAGAGAAAAAGAAGAAGACCCAAGCATGCACACGTTTCCTACCTTGGCCAGCACAAGCCAGCAGGGCCTTGAAAATGGTGGAAACTTCTGCTTCGCTCCCTCCCACCCACATCCCAGTTAGAATTGCTCTACTCTTAATTGATAAAGTATTATTTACAAGCATCATAGCTTGGATCCTAAAAGTGTGTGTCCTGTGTTCTGCTCACAGAATAGGGTTTTTCTGCCTCTCTTCCCATTGCAGTTCTCTGCAGCCTTCAAAAAGCCACTTGTTGAGAGTCAGTCCCCCACCCCTCATCGCGTTTGTGTGCTATGGAGAGCTGTAACTGCAACCTAAGAAATTTGCAGAGGTTTAAGAGCTCTCGGTGTGCAAGTAGAAGTGCTTTCTGCTCTCTTGGGTTCAAGTGGTCTGTTGGATCCAAGCCCATATGTATTAGAATTTTTTTTAAGGATAGAATGCAAAGTACCTGTGAGTTTTCAATTTTGTTACTGCTTATTTTAGGATCCAGTATAATGCCAGCGGCTGGAACAATGTACTTGACTACTTCAACTGGATATCCATACACATATCATAATGGTGTAGCTTATTTTCATACTCCCGAAGTTGCTTCTGTTCCACAGCCATGGCCTGTACGTAATTTCTTTTGTTCTGAGACAGTGCTAATGTGCCAGTAGCTGTTTGGGTTTGTTATTGTTAAATTTTGGAAATTAAAGCTAATTTGTCTTCTCTGAATAGCTATCAGCACAAATTTATATAGTATACATTGTTGCCTTTCTAACTGTGCGACCTTGTTTCATACCTCTGTTGTAAGCAGCTTTTGTGAAAAGTGCAACTCTACTGTCCAGTAACAACTAAAAAGTATATTTATTCAAAGGGTGCAGTATATTCCCCTGAATATAAAAAAGCAATTGAGGGAGTCAGCAGGAATAACTATGAAAAAGAATTTGGATGGGCAAGCAAATGGCAAATGCATGCAACACAGAATTGTAGCCATTCTATGGGCCCTTGTAACTTTGATTAAAAAATAATAATCATAGGAATGATCCTAGTCTGATTCTACATAGGATTTCAAAGAATCATAGAATTGTAGAGTTGGAAGGGACCACAAGGGTCATCTAGTCTACCCTCTGCAATGCAGGAATCATTTGCCCGATGTAGGGCTTGAATGTATGACTGTGAGATTACTGGCAGTTTTGTGTGTGCAGTATCCCACTCCAAATTCACTTTGCGGCATTCGGGAGCCAATTTGTTCGGGAGCCAAGCCGTTTAAGTACCAAGGTACCACCGTACTGTGGTTAACTATGAAAAGTATATTGAAGGGGAATTTGTTTTGGAGGATAGATAGCAAAAGCCCAAATGGCACTTCTGATATGTGAATTATTGTAAATGATTTGTTTGCTTGTTTATAATTTAGTTTTTAGTGTATTGCTTAAAATGTATTTCTTAGTAACATATTAATAATTCTTTGGACAACTCAGTAAGATTCTAATTGCTGTTCTCTTTTTTAAAGTCACGTTCTATTTCTAGTTCTCCTGTGATGGTAGCTCAGCCTGTTTATCAACAACCTACATATCATTATCAGGTAAAAAAATAAATGATGCTTTTGGCAACTTTATGGCAGCATAGGAGAGGAAATTGTGCTTCATAGTTTAATTGATTTCATAGTTGTTTGTTTGTTTGTTTGTTTGTTTTACCACTCTATCCTAAAAAAAATATAAAAATCTTAAGTGGTTTACAGTAATATTGAAATTTAACAAAAAAATATTTTCAGAAAGCATAAACTAACCATTATGGAAAGATGTATTCTTAATTGAAGCAGGCTCAGTAGTACAGTGGTACCTCAGTTTAAGAACAGCCCTGTTTACGAACTATTTGGTTTATGAACTCCGCAAAACCGGAAGTAGTGTCCCACTTTGCGAACTTTACCTCGGTCTAAGAACGGAAGCCGAACAGTGGAAGGGCACCGGCGGCGGGAGGCCTCATTAGGGAAAGCGCGCCTTGGTTTAAGAACAGTTTCGGTTTAAGAACGGACTTCTGGAACGGGTTAAGTTCGTAAACAGAGGTACCGCTGTAGATGGACAGCCAGTGTATATATTTTAACAATGGTGTCACATAGAATCTTTGAATGCTGAATTGGAAGGGACATGTTCTTGGCCATGTGCCCCCATCAGCAGTCTGCCCCCCGCCCCCATTCTGCACCAGCTGGAGCTTCGGAACCAGGCACAAGGGCACATTGCAGTAATCCAACCTTTAGGTTACCAGCTCAAGAACTACTGATATATAGAGTATGTGATATTAGAACTTTATTTGATACTTACCAAAGAAATGGAGGGAAGTCAGAGGCATGATAGAGCCTAAGTTAAATATGTAACCTATATATGTGTAATTTATGAATGTATGTATGTGGACTGAATATCAATAAAAAATTAATAGTACAAGCTCAGCCAGAACAGGTAACTTGCCCATGTCCTGAACATGGGAACCAAAGATGATTCAAATATTATATGTTATTAAAGAAAGAAAGATTGATAATATCTTTTTTTATTATCTTTTTTTATTATCTTTTTGATAATATCCTTTGCATTTATTGTGTTTAACTCTGCTGTATTGCTGTTAATGTCTTCAGCATATATTTTATTTTACAAACGGTGTAAATGGGGAATTTGGGGAATTTGGGTAAATGTGGAATTTGGTTGTTTTTTAAGCATACTGTTGTTTTCAATTACCACAGGCTCCTGCACAGTGTCTTCCAGGACAATGGCAGTGGAGTATTCCACAGGTAAATCATATTCAGTCTCCATAATCTGTTTGTTTATTTATAACAATTATATTGCACCCTTCCTCTAAGTAGTTTAAGGCAGTATAAATAGTCCCCTTTCCTCCACTACTATCCTTAGAACAATTATGTAAGATTAGATTAGGGCTGTCAGATTGTAACTGGCCAGAGGTGAGTAGCCTTTGTAGCTGGGATTTGTGATGTGGATTTAAACCTAGTATACCATACTACTCTCTGTTGGTTTGAGGTATACACTTCATGATGCCATGTGATATACTGATTGCTCCTGGCGGGCATGCAGGTCCAGACTTAATGGAATGAAATGGACTTTTAATTCAGCAGGGGGATACTGCTGGTGGATGGGAGGGGGTGGAGTCATTTTTTGCTGTTTTCGTGGGGTTACAGCTCCCTACCATGCCTGAGAGTGGGGCTCCCTCAGCCCTCTGGGAGCAGTTATTCAGAGAGTGAAAGTGAAGAGGCAAAAGTCATCCCCCCCCCCTTCTGCCTATAGGAGCATCCCCTGAGTGGAATGCTGCTCAGGGAATATTCCTGTTGGCAGAAGTGAAGTGTGGGTACAAGCCAGTAAATTCACATCCTAGAAATTTCAAAATTATACAGTTTCAAAATACAGCCTTCAGTAGATTCATTACATTATCTCAGGTATTAGCTGGGACTGTTTTTGGCGCATAGTCCTAATTACTTGCTTGTAGAATTTTGGGAGGAGGGAATGTGATGGAGAAGGAAGAGACAAACTCTTTGAGTAATTCAATTCAAACTGGAAACAAGTTATTCAAATGCATGCACACTTTTTAGAACACATGGATTTGTAAGTGTCAATGCTAAGTGTACGTCCAGGGTGAGAGCATTCCACTTAAATAATAGTTATCATATTTGCATTGAAATCATATATTACATTTTTTCTTCTTCTTTAGCTTGAATTCTTCTAAAAATTGAGTGTGTCATATGCAAAACAATGTTTTCTCTTTTTTAGTCTCCTGCCTCTCCCACCTCGTTCTTTTATCTACATCCTTCTGAAATTACTTACCAGCCCCTGGAGATTGCCCAGGATGGTGGATGTGTCGCTCCTCCTCTTTCCCTAATGGAAGCTGCAGTTCCAGAGGTACTTATACTCAGGAAAAGTATTTGTAGGCTGCATCTGCTCTACCTATTTAATTATTTGTAGATAATTTGATAAGATTGCATAGAGAATGTATGAAGAAAGAATTTGCTGTAATCAAATATTTTAGAAATCTGTGGGGTACCTTTCAATGAGGACTGTGTGCTAGTATTCATAGACTGAGTATTCTCTATTCACATATGAGAGAAAGTAAGGAGCAGTACTAATTACCGTATTTTTCGCTCTATAAGACGCACCAGACCATAAGACGCACCTAGTTTTTGGAGGAGGAAAACAAGAAAAAAAATATTCTGAATCTCGGAAGCCAGAACAACAAGAGGGATCTCTGTGCAGTGAAAGCAGCAATCCCTCTTGCTGTTCTGGCTTCTGGGATAGCTGCACAGCCTGCATTCGCTCCATAAGACGCACACACATTTCCCCTTACTTTTTAGGAGGGAAAAAGTGAGTCTTATAGAGAAAAAAATACGGTAATTGAGTATACTGCAGTGACACTTACCCCTTCAGTAGTCTCACTGAATGTAGTAGTCCCTTTATTTTATCTTACAGAATTTTGAGGGAACGGTTTGGAAATAAAGCCCACTTCTATCAGTATAGCTTTGGTCTTTTATCAGTATTGCATAGTCCTGATCTCATAACAATTTTGTAGGGTGCTTCCAGGCAGGGGCCTTATATCACAAAAAGGTTATAAAGGCACTCCTGCTTGTCCTCCATGCCAGTGAGTGGAGCTTGTCAGATTGTATCTGGGTTGGGGTTTTTCTGTCTCTCCCCTCAGCCATTCCTCTTGTTCTCCACTACCTTTTCCCATTCTGGGCATGTGAGCAGATATTTCTTAATCTGTGTGCATTCACCTTAAAAAATATTATCTGAGAAGTGGTGCAAGAGCAAATGTTGTGCAGCTATGAGTTGAGTTTTTGATAGGTATTTCAATAATCCCCCTTTATTCCTGCTGCCAACATCAGAGAATGTTTATCTGAACACACCCCTAGTGTAACCAAATAATAGGCATGTGGTATAATACAATTAATTAATTTATCTTTCTTTATCTTATTTGTTACTTTATTATATGTACATCAATGGCTACTATAATACTGGTTCTTTACTAATCAGCTAACCCTGCTACACATTCATCACCAACTCACACACCATCTACCAGGCACTCCTAACACCACTCTCAACAGCAGACTGTCTCTCCAGCAACCCTGAAACTCCCTTTCAGAACTCCCACCCAGTCACCACTCATTCTCTCCCACTTTTGATAACATTTAATTCCTCTAATTTACTGTACTTAACATTCACCTTGGGTACTCTATACATACACGTGCTTACAATATTATGTACAAAAGCAACAGTCTCACAAGGTCTACATTAAATTTCTGTATTAATCTTAAAAAAAAAAAGTCTGATGCATGTATTGCAATGTACTCCAGCATAATCCTTCACATGTACTATGTGGAAATCTTGAAAGAAGAGTTCCTCTGAAGTGGGTTAGTGGAAGTAGACACATTTACATTGGTTGGATCTAGACACATCCAAGAAAAGCTTCAATTAAACACATTGCAAACTTTGTACAGTCGTACATCGGAAGTCAAATGTAATCCATTCCGGAAGTTCGACTTCCAAAACATTCAGAAACCAAGGTGTGGCTTCCAGTTGGCTACAGGAAGCTCCTGCAGCCAATCGGAAGCTGCGGAACCTGCGTGGGACATTCGGGTTCCAAAGAGCGTTCGCAAACTGGAACCCTCACTTCCGGGTTTGTGGCGTTTGGGAGTGAGGTATTTGACTTCCAAGGTACAATTGTGAGAAATTGCGTTGGCAAAAACGGAACGCCGGAGCACCATCTGGTGTCACAGTGTTATAATGCATATAAAACACTTTTTCTAGCTGAGTCCATTGTTTTGGCTGCTAAAAAAAATAGCTAACTTGCACTCATGTGAGGAGCCAGTAGAAATAGGGGTGCACTGATAGAGCCACCCATTGAAACATGATCACACACATGACAAACTGCCCACCCTAAAAATCCAGATGATCAGTAACCATGGATGGATAATGGGTTATTTTTACTTCTGGGTTTTTGTGTTGAAATCTAGTTTAGATGTAAAAAGTATGCACTGGCATTTTGATGGCAATGACATCATGTGGATGCTGTAAAAACCATGTCATCCACAATCCATCTGGAAGCAATCTTAGTCTTGCTACTATGTGACAGAACCCAGTAAACTAGCTTTTTTATTATATGCTATTAAATTCAGTTTGGGTTCTGCAAACATTGACAGTATATTCCTGGCTGACATTAGAAATCCCATTCACCACCAATGCTCATTGAAGCATTTGAAGGCTCAAAATAATAATAATAATAATAACAGTAAAATATATTATTAATTAATTAATTAATTATTACTTTCACAACCCAGCTCTACATTTCATGTGCAGTTATGTGTCCTCTATTATGATGGTCTCATTTATGAGGTGACGCCCTTAGTCTTGAAACTTTGTTTTAAAAATGTCACATAGCGAGAAATGTACAAATATCCCACTTTCAAATTTTTAAAGTAATCAGGATGTCTTGACTGCAATTTGACATCTAGCAGGTCATAACATTTAACTCATACTGAACAGCAAACCAGCACAGAATGGTCAAACCCACACATACTAGTATAGCTAAATTTATATAAGTGTATGCATGCATGCGTGCACAATAGTGGCATTCAGACAGGCATGGAGGCTTCCATCAGTGGAAGACCTTCATGTAGAATCAAGTGGAAGGTTTTCCTGACCATGATTTGAGAAGTCGAGAAGATCCCAGTTAACTTAGGTGTTTGGTAGTTTCATTGTCCCATTCATATTGTTGCATGCCACTCCAATCTCCAAACGGTGTGGGATTCTAGGGTTCCAGGTGCTTACTCGGGGATTGGTTTCCTCGGAATGAGGGACGGTGGAAACTGTGGTGTCTTTATGATAAATGGTTTATTTACACATATATACAGCCTGAGCCTACAATAGAGGGGCTCACAGCATCAACACTGCAGAACGTATTATTCCCCCAATAGCCACAGCCTTGGATTCAAGCAGAAATTCAGACATGGCTCTCACTCAGGCTTCTGTCTGCTTCTGGCTCCCAGCTCACCCCCCTAACTCTGGTTTTTGTCCTTCTAATTGCTAGCCAGGTTGGGGGGGCACCCAGCCAGGTGAAGGGGGATCTACCCATTTACCCTCTGACATAGAGCAACTTCCTTTCTTATATTAACAACCCATACTTAAGGCCATTATGGCCCTTGGCTAGCTAACTCAACAATGGGATATTCCATTTGATTCCAACCCTTTTTGGAGCCAGGAGTTAGAAGGGACTCAGGCATACAGCCTAACTCCTGCCCCTAAACTCTCAACAGTATGAATAGGGATAAATAGGAACCCTGATATCTTAGCAAGTTAAACATATTTTTTAAAATAAAAAATAGAAAAGAAGAGAGTATAAATATAGCTGACCCCATAAATGTTAAGGCGTACATGGAGTATGAAGTGCTTCAGGTTTGCTAAGTTTAACAAATATTTCAAACAGCTGCTGGACTCCACAGTAACCCTGCTGACTCTGGAGGGTTAAAAATAAATAACTTAATCATTCATTTCTCATCTACTTTCTGTAGAGTTAAAATGGGAGACACATAATCTGCAAAGAACCTTGAGTGCCAGTAGGCAATCTTTAGTCAAGATATGTTAGCTCAATAAGTACCAGAGAGCAAGCTAAATTGGGGGCGGGGGACACTGTACAGTAGGGATGGAAGGATCTGTCAATTTCAGTTCTCATTTTCTCATTTTTCTAATCTTCATTTCAGTTCTCCACGTTTCTGCAGCAATTTGAGAAAATCCTCATGAAAATTCTTCAGCATTTAATTTCTCCTAATAAACATATTTTGTATACATGTTTGACTAATATACACATTTTGCAAGCAATTTTTCTAATATAATGCATTTTAATCTGTTGTTTTCAGTAATCTATAATTTTATGCACACTTTTTCCTAATATATCCATTTTTTATAAACTTTGAGAGAACTGCATCGCAAAATGTGGATAGGTGTGACTTTCTTAGGGTGGCTGGGTTTTGGTTCTTATTGTTTCGGAAAGTGCAAATTGGATTGATTCGTTTTTAATACAAAAGCAATCAAATTTCTTCCCAGCCCGTTGTGCAGTAGATGGGCCAAAATTCTATAGATATATTGACAACTTTATAACTTGCAAACCAAAGAATAAGATTTCCCCCTTTCATCATACATTATATACATTTAGCACTGCCAGTTCTGCATTATTACATGCTTCCACTAATTATTTAAATATACTGTGGATCTCTTCCAGTCATTTTGAACCTTCCTGGCCCCAAATCAGGTAGAAAGGTGTCTGTAATAGCCCTAACATCTAACCTACAACAAGCAGAAGTCAGAATCAGGTCTGCACCTTTATATCTATTCTGACAAAAAACCCAAAAAAAAACCTGGAAATTTGCAGGTAAACAATTAGCCCAAGGTCAGTTGGGTTCTTGGATAACTAACATAACATTAAAAAGCAGTTCTGAAATGATGGAATGAAAATTGCTTTCTGTGCACATTTTTCCTTTTTATGCTATTTTTAATATATACTTGTTTTGTAAATATATTTGTTTGTAAGTATGTTTTTCAATATTCATTTGTTTACCAGCCATATTCTGATCATGGAGTTCAAGCATATCACCAAGTTTATGCTCAAAGTGCCATAGCCATGTCAGCCCCTGTGATGCAGCCTGAGTCTGTTAAAGTAAGGTCTATAACCTTCTTTTTCTTTGGGGGCGTGTTTTAGCTGATGGGGACACAATTCAAGTTGGATTGGGAGGTGATAGTGTGAGAAAGGCATAAAATACCCTTTCCCTTGCAAAAGTATAGGCATACTTAGTTTTATTTATTTTTTGTTGTAAATCACATTGAGCTTTTGGAAAGGTGAGGTAAAATAGATTAAATAATTAACAAAAAATGAAAATCCTTTGCCACTTTATGTTCTTTTTCTGACTTTACTCTTGAAATTCTTTGAAACATTAGATGTTTGAGTAGATACTTCGTATATGGCATAGTCACAAAAATATTTCCAGTAGAGGGTGCTACAGTACTAAATGACATCACCAACAAAATTCAGTAGGAGCTAATCAGTAACAAGCTATGAAAAACAATAATCATAGAAATGTTTCAGTGAATTACAAATACTTTTCTATATTTTATTTTTCAAAAAATTAATTATCTGACATTGTTGCTAATTGTGTGAATGGTGACATTAGCAGTAGCAGCCGGTGAGGTGGGATGAAAGCAGTCCTCAGCTGGGAGTGGGGGCGAGTGTCCTTGTGGCCATCAGCAGCTGCCTAACTTTGTGGTGTCTTGCCAATAAGGGCAGAGGGTGCCTGTACTCTCCACTGCCTGCTATTGCTTTGGGTGAATTTTTGGTGTGTAGTTAAGCCTGGCAGAAACTATTAAAAGACATTAGTCTACTGCAGAAGAAAGAGTTGCTCTTCCTTAGTTGTTTTAGTTAGATTTGTAAAATCATTTTGTAAAAGTTATATCACAATGTCTTATTTTTTTCACTTCCCTATTTATGTTGCAGTATATACTCTTAGCAAAGTGTAAAGGAATTTGTCCTTCAAAATCAGTCCAAATTAAGCTAATTAGCTGTACGCATACTTGCTTTGGCTAGACTCATTATAGGCAGAAAGAGAGCTAACAATTTCAATGCAGGTTTTTTTTTAACTTCCTGAAATAATGCTACACACTGCTCTGCTTACTTACGCTATTGTACTGTACAGTACAATTGCATCATGCACAGAGGTTATGTTCTGGGGATGGCACTTAAACCCCAACCCCCCACATGACCATCTTTACCTTTAAGCAATTTACAGGGCTGTCCAAGTTCTCACAAGAGCCTCCCAAGGCCCTGTTAGCAAGCCCAAGAGCTTAAAAGCTCTTTCCATGCCAGGAGAAACCAGGGCAGAACAAGGTTTTAAGCTCTCCATTTTGCGTGCAGTTAATTTGCGGTATTTCAACCAGCCAGCTTTCAACCACATAAGGTTGAAATCATGCAAGACACCATTGTATTGTAGTTCTTTTTCCCTTTATTTCAGGCTTAAAGACTACTAGCTGTAGTTAGCTGCATTTAGAGCTTGGGTTCTTTTCCTCTCCTTTGACCTTAATGGGCTACATAGCCTTCTGAGACTAGAACAAGGAGTAAGAACCCTAGCCAGACATGCAATTGGATCTGTAATTATGTTTCTGCTTTCCTCCTTCTGTGGAGTATGTCTTCCAGTGCAGAATCACGCATCTACCATATTTGAGAAACTTGCATGTTTTTATTAATATAGCTGTCTACATGTACAGCTCTGAGTATGGAAAAGTTCTGAAGCTTGGCTGACCAGTGCTGTAGCAGATGGTTTACAGGGTGTGCATAGAATCATAGACTTGGAAGGGACCCTGAGGGTCATCTAGTCCAATCCCCTGCAATGCAGGAATGTATCTACCTGCTTAGATTTTTGTGTTTTGCTGCTGCTGCTGCTGCTGCAGAGGCAACAGGAAATTTTGTTCTGTGGCTGCTAAGTAGATTCTTTTTCCTTTTCACTAGTTAGAATTCATTAATAAAGCAAGCTATTGGGTAGTTGTGTTCCCTCATATATATTCATTTGGGAATCCTGTAGACCTCTGAAAATTGGGTAGGCATGATGTGCCCAACTCAGTATTAATCACAGCTGAAGAGGCATGTGCATCAGCCCTTGGTACTGTGACTGCTGAGCTTTGCACTTCATCAAGTCCCAAACGTCAGAGGTGGGGGGGGGAAACAGCTCATTGGAAATACTCTCTTGTCTCTAACTGAGCTCCTTGTGATTTCCCCCCATGCCACAATTCTTGGAGAGGGGAGGGAAACCTGATATAAATGCAATGCTGTTTAGAAAGGGAAGGCTTAAAATTAATGAGCTGATTTCTAGAGATGAGGAAAAAACATAGAGAAGGAAATGGCTAGAAAGTAGCCTACATAGGCCACAACTTGCTAGACTAGCTGTGCAATAGGCCATCCACACCTGAGAAAATGGCACACCCATTGAGTTTTCAAAGTCAGATTTTCTGAGCTCTGAATGAGAGGCAGGTGTTTTAGTTTTAACATTGTGCATATTCCCTGGAAAAGTGAGTGGAGAAAATGTGGCAGTTCCACAGTAAATGCAAAGTGTGGAAGCAGCTCAAGTGACAATCTGTCAAGGAACTGAGACGACAGAAATTCTCTACACCATGAAAACTGCATGTCTGAAAGATGACTAAGCTAGAACCCTACTATCTGATACCCAGTATTCAATATGTTGAGAGCTTTAGCGCCTTCCCTTTTATGCCCACCTGGGGAACTCAGGTATATGGTATCCAATCTGGGCTGCATGTTCATGTGTTTTCAGCCCTTTTAGAGAACGGAGTGCCTTGATTCCTGAATGCATAGCATCACAAGCCAGTAATTTATTTTAAATAAGATTAAGCCTAACATTTGTTATCTAGGAATGTGCATTTTTAAACAACAAATATGCAACTAACCAGGACCTATTATTTCAACTTAAATGTGTTATAAATCTAATGAACATGCCTACCAATATCTTCTAAATGTCCTACAGCTCACATACCATTGCCACCCAAATTCGCCAGAAATCCATCCATCCCTGGTTGTATCCTGACAGGTTATAATTATTTGGCTTCAAATAAATTCAGCATTGTGTTTGGACACCCACCAAAGAGATGGCTACCAAAAGCAAACTTCTCCAATGAAGCATCTCCAATATTATAGAATGTAGTTGCTACATCTGGGCATTTCAGTAGGAATGGGGGGTCCAGTGGGCTCTTTTCATGGAGCTGGATACCATGTCCCTGAATCTTGACATCCCACTGCTAGCCCTAGTATGTCACGAGTGCTTCCTTGCCTTCCATAATTCATGTTCACAGAGACACCTGGAACTGCATAATGTAAGAGAGACAGACTGGAGTTTATGCCTTAATCTAAACCAGGGAACCTTTGGCCTTCTAGATGCTATTGGCTCAGACATGCTGGCTTCTGTCTCTTGTTTTATCTGCAGTTATTTGCTCAAACAACGGTTTTCTGTTACTTACCTTGGAGTAGATTACAAGATGGATTTACAAAATCCACCCCTCCCCAGTTTTCAACATGAATCACAGTATATATAGCTCAATTGGGGTGAGGAGTCTCCAGCCTCCCAGTTGGGCCTCTAGGTCTAAAACAAATGGAGAAACCTTGAAATAAACAGGATAAGCTTCACATGCTCACTTAGGAATGTAAAGTGAACAAAGTAAACACTAACGAATATTCAGATAGCAATTGATCATACTGTTTCTGTCTAATAACTAACAAGGTGGAGTTAATTTATTCTCAGGGTTTGGAGATGCTGATGCAGTACTTCTAGGAGTGATAGGTATGCTACAGTATTTTCAATACCAGTTCATCAACCTGGGTATTGTTCATCAACCTGTATTTTTTCTCACCCAGTTATAGGCAATTCTAAAAGACTTGGGTAATCTCTTTCCCTTAGAACAAGACACATTCCTTTGAAACCTCAGCCTTGTTCAGATAGTTCCAGGCTGATGAATCTTCCTTGTGACCTCTGTGATTACTTCCAGATCAGTACTGGGGACAGAGGAGAGAGAGATATTTTCTAATAAAAATTGTAACCCAATTCCCCCCCAAGAAGAGTCGTCCAAAGTGGCTAACAACAAATACAAAAATAAGGGGCAGACAATGCAACTGATTTAATAAAGTGTCTCATAAGATTTAGCAATGGTTGGGATTTTAGAAGCATTGTCTTTCTGCACAATGCACACACATTGCAATAATCCTTTCTAGGAGCAATGAACATGAGTGACCATGGCTGAGTCTGGCTGCTCAAAGAACAGGAAATCAGAAATTAGTCATGCTTTAATGCCATTAAAAACAGTGGGAATTAAGTTAGATGTTACTACCTTAAGTCTCATTAGTTTCAGTGTGGCTAAAATAGGACTAGTTTCCTCTGGAATACATGAATTAACCCAGATAGTACTGGGACTACCTTGACTGAATAGAGAGCTGGCGTCACACAAGTAAGTCGTTACTGAAGCTACCTGAGAGCCTAGGAATTTCATGGTTGTAAAAAAGAAAGAGGTGATTTCAACCTCTTTCAGAAGCTGCTGTTCATGAATCTGATTTGTAGGAGACTGTTCTTGGCACAAGACTAATCGAGAAGAACGATGTAGTACGTAACATGCTGAAAATCAAGTGTAGGGATTTGCATACATGTACTAATTATTTGTGGATAAATAGAAAATTTTGCATAATTGACACTTGGTAATTCACATCTAACCAGAGTGATCACTTAGGACTGATGGGTTTGCTGATCAATCAGAAAATTCTTTGAAATTATTTTCCCTCAGGAAATTGAAAACAATCAAGAGCAAATTTGCTTTATTATGGTATAACTCCATAATCTTCAACAATTCCATGGGGAAACTAACGTGCCAGAGTTTCTTTTAGTGCTTTTTTAAGTCAGGTGGGAAATAGTTTTATATAGTCTTGTTGGTGCTGTTACTATTTTAATTAAATAGATTTGTGTACCACTCTTTATCCGAAGATCCCAGTTTAGTTCACATGTGGTCATTTTGTGTTGTAAATTAATTCCTTCCTTTGCAGACTTTGTTTATATATTTAGCAGAATTGTCATATACCTGCTTAAAATGTCTTGTAATAAACTGCTATTTTGAAATGTAGTTTTTTCCTCTTTATAGGAAGCCAGGATACATTCTGTAAGAAGAAATTTTTCTCATCCTTCTTCTATGAGTTTAAAGCCTCGTTACGCACGAAGTCCTCACTTTCACCCTAGAAAAGATTACAGATCAGATGACACAGTGCTCACAACTCCTTCCTCTACAGACACTGTTAAATAGCACCATAGTTATACTTAATAGCTAATATGAAGGTGTGTAATTTTGTAGCTCCTAATGTATACTGAATACTGCTAAGTCAAAATGTCCTTGCTTTTTGTAAGGTGTTTAAAGACCTTGCACTTGTAAACATAAATCGTTTACTCTTAGTAAACATAAATTGCAGGATAAAATCATGGTTACCTTTATCAATTGGTATTCTTATATGGTGACAGACTTGTAATTGAGAAATATGCAGGCTATACATGTGCTGTTTATTATGCCATTTAAAACTAGCGTATTTGTTTTGCAAACCAAACTTAAAATTCATTTTCATCTGATAGGTTACAAGAATGACTACAATATTAAAAAACATTTTTGCTTGATGGAAAACGCATGCTATGTTGAAATCCGAATATTTTATTTAACATTTAGCATATTTTTGGGTTTTTTTAATAATTTGGTGCAAATACTGTTTTACATATTGCAACTGAAATAAAATCAATCTTTTTTTTAGTTTATAAAAATTAAAAGTAGTTCCATCTGCTTATGTCCACATATTTTGTTCTGATTTTTGTGACTGATACTGTTCTGAAGGATATAAAATACTACACACATTTTTGATACTATTTTGGATGTGCAAAAATACAAGCTTTGCATTAATAACATAATCTTTGAAAACTTTCATTAAGCCTTTGTCTTCTCCCTGTGCAGGATCAAAATGAATCACTGCCTGTATCATGTCCTGAGGAGGAATACAATTATCCTCTTCACTACAAGGATTAGAATTGTTTATTCCCTGCTTTTGTTTTACAAGCTTTTTGCTGTAGTCTTTCAATTTATACTTATTCTGGCATAATAAATATGCCTGCTGTATTCAATTAGAATTGAAGCCTTTTTATCAAAGGTGAAGTCCAATTGTTTTATTTTTTTTAAAAAGTCAGGTAAGGATTTCATAGAGTCAGTAATACAACGTCAGCAAGGTAGCATTTAAATAAATCTTTTAAGAACTACTGATACTGTCCTTTAACAGCAAACTGGAAATAAACATTAAATAAATACAACCTTATTACTTGCTTTGCCCACAGTGTACCTACCATTACACGTGGCTGGAGTTAGGATAAATTCAGACTTTTACTAAAAAATTATTTATTTTTCTAGTAACATGTTCACTCTTGAGTCTTTAAATAGGTTTGCGCCTTTATAGAACGTAAAAAGATCATATGCAAAAGTAATTTATACGTTTTGTAAAAATGTTTGCGATAACCCAGCAACTATCAGATTTAAGTAGTTTTTATGTCAAGTATAAAGAACTTGAATGGTTGGGGGTTATCTGTTTAATGTTACTGTTTTTATATTTGCAGAGGTTTTAAAATATATCTGTATAAATGTGTTCACATCTATTGAAACTGCTTTATAACTGTGAAAGAATTTGCTCAGTTGTATATATCCTTGTAAACAATATAAAAGTAGCCAAGAAAAGGCCATGTGTTCTGTTACTATGGCATTATTTCTAAGTATATCATGAAACCATTGTATATAGCTTATTTCATCCAAGCAATCAGGATCAGTTTTGAATCTTTTGCTTGGGTTCCCATTTTTACTTCGTGTATTAGACTAAAAAAAGCATAGTTTTCTGAAAATATTTCAAAATTGAGATGTCCAAAGAATGTCTGGCATTTAGAACTGCAATTTAGAAAACAATGTCATTCATACTTGAAATCCTTTGTTCTTACTGCTTGCGTTACGGAGTTATTGATATTTATATCAGGTTAAATAATACCCAAGACTTTCCATTTTAGTTAATTCATTTAAGAGAGCAATATAAACATCAGGATTAGATTTTTTTTAGTCCCTGTTTGGCCAAGAGTAACTTAATACACACAAATATAGTAATAGAAAGAAATGTCTTATGCACAAACAGGTCCCTCCCTCATACCTAATTCTAAGGGGTTATAACAGAAGTAAGAAAGCTGTCTTCTACCCTTTGTATCTGTGGTCTGTTATCAATCCTTTTGAAATGCATGGATTTTTTTTAATGCAACATTACATTATAGAATTTGGGCTAATACCTGGTCAACCATATTATCTTGAAGGCTAGTTGAATGTAATATATTCCTTCCCCCTTATTATGTTTCTCCATAGAAAAAAATAGCTCCTGAGTCTAGTGTACTTATTAATTCACCTCATTTATATATTGAGGGTTAGCAAGCAAACATTAACAACACCGCTCTGTGTTACAATCCTGATTTTAAAACTTTTATTTGGGATACATGAGAGAATCATATTTGCCATAGATTTAGAGATTGAATAAATTATTTAAGTAATGTTTACGATCATAACTCCAAGCGTATTTTAAGAAATAGGTGAAGAACTAACATAATGTTAATTAAAACAGGACTTTTCCTATGACTGTTTTGAAATGTTCGAAAAATGTGAACACCAAATTGTTATTTGTGCTAGTGAACTGGGGAAAATTCACTTTAATCATCACATTGTCATTTGACATATCACTTTGCTATTTCTTTATGCTTTTTAACATACTCTATAATCCATGTAACAAAATAAACTACTCAGCAAACTGCATTCTACTAATAAGATAGACGAAAGTAACAGAACACATGGCTTTGCATACAGACTTTCTACCTGTATTTTAGTATAGTTTTACAATGTAAGGTTATTGTAACATGTGTTAGTGTAAATGTTAGGGTAAAATGGTAGTTTTGGGACGCTCATACTGCACCAGCTTTTTAAGAAATGTAAATGTCACAAGCAAGATATTTGAAGAGATACATATACAAATATACTAAGACCCTAGATTTTTTTAATACACGGTAATTCCATATTACTGTGGAGCTCTGATTTTGAACAATGCTACAAGGTATAGCAGAAGAGTGTTATTTTGTTTTGGGCTTCATTATTGGACAGTGTCGATCAGAGCTTTTGGTGTGATAACAAAACACAGCTGTAAAATGGCACTTGAAAGCAGGATGTATCGTGGGGTATTCTTTAACATATCTTCAAAGGAATATAAGAGTTTACTTTTGCCATGGTAATAAGGAGTAGTTCATAAAAATGCTGATCATAAGTAGAATGCTTTTGCATTGTCATACAATTCTAGCTAAATTAACAGGGTACCAACATGGCTCCTTATGCATTTACTATAGTTCCTGCAACCTTAAGTAAGTTAAGATAAATGTACAGAAAGATGTTTTATCAATAATTTTATAGTACTTCAAAGTTTTACAAATTTGTTCTCTACTCATTTTTTGTTTAAACTATGGGTATAATCCAGTCACACTGCAGGATTCTGTTAGGCTCAGTAGAGCCTTGATTTACACAAATCCCAAACAAGCATAGGCAAGGAAGCGGCGTTGTAGGCATATGTATGGACTTTCCATTCAACCTAATGCCTTTTGCACAGCCTCTACACACACAATGGAGAAAGCATGTCTCTATGAACTATTTGTGCAGGGGTGCTAGGCCCACACTGGACTGGATTCTGCCATGAATGTATGATATACAGTAACGATATTGGTTCCTGTAGCTTGTACCATTTTTAAAAAGCCAATGGCTTTGTAACAAAAGTTTCATCTAAATAAAGTATTCTTTATCTACTATTGGTAATGCAGATTCATTTTTTAGAAAACAATAGTGACAGCTAAATAAAAGTAAGTTAGGGGGGTTTCATATAACACCTTATCATCAAGAATCAGAATCCTGGATAGAACTATTTTGAAGGTGTCGGGTCATGGAATAGTTTAGATCTTAATTATTCCAATTCAGGGGTATCGTAGAGGGAGGACAAGGAGGAGTCATTGTTCCCCTTCTGGTGTTTCGGACCACATGGCCACATTAACTCTACCTGTGTATTGAGCAGCTATTGTTATAAACAATAAACTGGGCAATGTGTTGCTGTTTGATCTTAGTTGCTGCTGCTGTAGTAATAGGATGTAAAACGAAATTAACCACAAAACACAGATCCTTAAAATATCCTCCCCCCCCCCCCGTTTAATCTTGAACAGAATTTCCAAGAGTAAGCCTTTAAACCTAGCTGAGAAACTCCTCTTCTCAAATAATTTTGTCCCTTTTCTGAAACGAGAAATGGCTCTCAGCTCCGCTTATATTCTATGGACAAAATTAATGGAATGCATTAGTTGTGCTGCAGTTGTGCTATTGAATGCATGCCTTTAATTTGTTTCCGACCCAGCTACGTGAGAAGTTGAGGCAGCTGTGCACAGGAGTCCTTGGTCCCCAGCGAGGTAGGAAAGGTGCTCAGCCTATAAGAATCCTCATCCACTGTACCCAGTGACTCTAGTAGTTATCCTGACTCCAAGGAACCTTCCACTAGCAAGTGAGGTGTTGTAGGCAAGGTGCAATAATGGCAAAACGCAATTTCTAGACAGCATTTTGGCTCCTCAGGTACAACGGAAGAACTTAAATTTGCTTGGCTTTATATTTGAGGGCAGGGACGCGGGTGGCACTGTGGGTTAAACCACAGAGCCTAGGACTTGCCGATCAGAAGCTTCGCGGTTCGAATCCCTGCGATGGGGTGAGCTCCCGTTGCTCGGTCCCTGCTCCTGCCAACCTAGCAGTTCGAAAGCACCTCAAAGTGCAAGTAGATCAATAGGTACCGCTCTGGCGGGAAGGTAGGCGGCGTTTCCGTGCGCTGCTCTGGTTCGTCAGAAGCTGCTTAGTCATGCTGGCCACATGACCCAGAAGCTGTACACCAGCTCCCTCGGCCAATAAAGCGAGATGAGTGCCGCAATCCCAGAGTCGGTCACGACTGGACCTAATGGTCAGGGGTCCCTTTACCTTTACTATATTTGAGGGCAGTTGGTTCATCAACAACATATGGGACATTTTGAATTGTTTTAAATGTGGTTTTTAATGCTGTAACCCACTCATCTGTTGTATGTGCAGCCTTTGAAACCTTCAGCACGTTCCTTGAGAGGGCAGTGGGACACCCAACAGGTCACCCACTACCTGGACAGTTTTTTGTTTGTTTGCGGGAGCTGGTGAATCCAGGACCTGCTAGTGGCCTTCCAGTGGCTATATGACGACTTAAGAGGTAGGTCCTCGCTGCCCACAAAAAAGCTTAAGGGCCTTCGGGTAAGTTCATTTATTTGGGCCTCTGGGTAGACTCTGGTAGCTTCCTCGATCCCTTCCACTCCTGTTTGCCATGGTGGCGTTTAATGCTGTACATCTCCCATGGGTGCTTTCCAGCCGACTGGCAGCAAGAAACATGCCAGCAGCAAGGGCTGATGGAATGCAGACCAGATCTTTGCCCTACTGCCATGCCAACCCTGCTTATCTGCTGTAAAGCCAAAATTAAGTGGCCTGTTTCAGTCCACAAATGCCTATTCATTGTGCTTATTTCCACTGCTCCAACGAGCCTGGTACAGAATGATAAACTGTTGGCGCAACATGAGATTTTTAAAATATCAATTTGACATGAAGACCAGGAACTAAAAATAACCCCTGCATGACTAGTTAAGCATTTTTGTTGTTGTTTAGTCATGTCCGACTCTTCGTGACCCCATGGACCAGAGCACGCCAGGCACTCCTGTCTTCCACTGCCTCCCACAGTTTGGTCAAACTCATGTTAGTAGATTCGAGAACACTGTCCAACCATCTCGTCCTCTGTTATCCCCTTCTCCTTGTGCCCTCCATCTTTCCCAACATCAGGGTCTTTTCCAGGGAGTCTTCTCAAGCTGCACTGGCTCCCGGTGGAGTACAGGATCAGATTTAAGGTGCTGCTTTTGACCTTTAAAGCCCTTCACAGCCTAGGACCCTCGTACCTACGGGACCGCCTCTCCCGGTATGCCCCACGGAGAGCCTCAAGGTCCATAAATAGCAACACCCTAGTGGTCCCGGGCCCTAAGGAAATTAGATTGGCTTCAACCAGAGCCAGGGCCTTTTCAACTCTGGCTCCGGTCTGGTGGAACGCTCTGCCTCATTAGACCAGGGCCCTGCAGGATCTGATTTCTTTCCGCAGGGCCTGTAAGACAGAGTTGTTCCGCCTGGCCTTTGGCTTTGATTCCCTCCCTCTCTTTTTTCTTTTCCTTCTCCTGCGATGAGGCTACATTTTAATATTTTAATGTTTCAATATTTTAATGTTGTATTTTTAATTTTGTTTTTAAGTTGTAATCATTTAACTTGTTTTTATTATTGCTTGTAAGCCGCTCTGAGCCCGGCCTTGGCTGGGGAGGGCGGGGTATAAATATTATTATTATTATTATTATTATTATTATTATTATTATTATTCTCATGAGGTGGCCAAAGTATTGGAAACTCAGCTTCAGGATCTGTCCTTCCAGTGAGCACTCAGGGATGATTTCCTTAAAAATGGAAAGATTTGATCTTGCAGTCCATGGGACTCACAAGAGTCCCCTCCAGCACCATAATTCAAAAGCATCAATTCTTCGGCGATCAGCCTTCTTTAGGGTCCAGCTCTCACTTCCATACATCACTACTGGGAAAACCATAGCTTTAACTACACGGACCTTTGTCGGCAAGGTGATGTCTCTGCTTTTTAAGATGCTGTCTAGGTTTGTCATGGGACCAGGGGCCATGATCTTTGTTTTTTTGATGTTGAGCTTCTATGGGAAATTTGGGCTGTTTTGCCTTATACAGCTGCCCCCGGTGCCTTTCTCTATCTCTGCAAGTCCAAAGAGAGAGATAAAAAATTCCAAACAGTGTTAACTAATATTAATAATTTAATAATAATTTTACTATTTATACCTATAACTATAAATGTGTTGTCTTACTCTCAAGGAAACTTAAATCAGCTGTATAAAGAAATCATTCATCGACGGATCAAAGTGGAAGCAGCACATTTACTTGTAAGCGCTGGGATCATATAATCAGAATCATAGAGTTGGAAGAGACCACAAGGGCCATCTAGTCCAACCCCCTGCAAGGCCGAAATCTCTAATGCTAGCTGCCAACTTCCAGGGGGCTTAAGACGCCTTTGAACAATGCAGTTGATAAGATTGTGGCTTAGCTGGGCTGCATGCCCTGAAGAAATGAAAACAAATACAGTGGTACCTCTGGTTACGTACTTAATTTGTTCCGGAGGTCCGTTCTTAACCTGAAACTGTTCTTAACCTGAAGCACCACTTTAGGCTAATGGGGCCTCCCACTGCCGCCGCGTGATTTCTGTTCTCATCCTGAGGCAAAGTTCTTAACCCGAGGTATTATTTCTGGGTTAGCTGAGTGTGTAACCTGAAATGTATGTGTATGTAACCTGAGGTACCACTGTATAAGCAACTAGTTGAAAATCCACTCCTTTGCTCTTTGTTTGCAAAAAGCCCCTAAAACCGAAGTTTTAAGAATTAACTGTTAGCTTAACAGAAAGATTGCCATAGAGCTCTTGTATAATGTGAATCAAATCCCTCCTCTGGTTTGCTATGATGTACATTTCATACTGTTTCTAAATAGGACCTATCAGAAGCAGAGAATGTGCTTTTTTATATTTTTTAACTTACTAAGTCAATTACTCCAAATACAATTTGTACTGCTCTCTAGCCAAGGGAATCTTTTGCTATTGTGTGCATTTTCCCCCCAGCTGTCCTGTGCGAAGGAAGTCAGATCCAAACTCACATTTAAAACAAGAGTTCTGAACTGCTTTTCATTTACTTTGCTCCCCTTTGAGATGCCAGAAGCAATTTCCTCTTGAAGTTGACTTCCTTTCTGGAAACGATTTTGTCTCAAACCATGTTGAGGCTCTCTAGTCCCATTATCTGACTAACTTGCTCTTTTTTGTTCCCTTTTCTTTGCTACTGCAGCAAAACAGACCTTCTGGCTGCAAGGGAATCACGCTGAACTTTTGCAGCAACTTTTTATTTCGGTTGTTTTCTCACATCATTATCAGCCAGCCAAGAGGGACAGACAAAGCACTCATTGGTGCCCTCTGCAACAGAACACTGCTAGCAGGGGCTGGCTGTAAATTGACGTGGCATGGAAAATCTCTGCTAAGTTTGCAACACTTTGTATGTTCCTGCAAGAGCAGTAACACTCTTGCCCAGGAGGACTTCGTCGCCTGAAAGCATAAAGGGTTATACGCCTGGATGTAACTATGGCTGGAAAATTCCTCCTGTTTCTAACTTGGGACTTGAATATTCTTTTTTCTTTGGTGTTGTGGCTAGCAGTAAACAGCATCTAAAACTTTGAGATTCCTTCCTCTTCTTTTTTTCCCCCTCCAATCAGAGGGAAACAGATTTTGTGGCATTCTCCATTTCTACCTCCACCCTCTGCACCTTCCTGCTCCCTGCCGGCTGCGACCATGGGGTGTGGACTCAGAAAACTAGAAGACCCAGATGATAGTAGCCCTGGAAAAATATTTTCAACGCTAAAGAGACCGCAAGTGGAGACAAAGACGGACTCTGCTTATGAGTACATATTGCTTGATTTTACTTTGGAAGGTAGGTATCTTGTTTCAGCAGTACTCTGTGTCAAAGGCTTAAATGGGCAAAAGTTTTCCTTATTTTATTTCTTTAGATTACATATGGGAAAACTAATTCACAAGAATCTTTCAACACCAGTCACTGTTATTCATTAGGCTAATGGTTTGGAAATGTGTTAAATTGTGCATATGAATGCCAAAAAAAAAATGT